ACAAGAACTTCGATTATTCTACTCCAACTTCTTGTTATTTTCAATATTTCCTAGAATATTCACTTACAATGTGTTTAATACATAAATCACAAATGATCTTACAATGTGAACATTTATCTTCGCTGTTCACAGTCTTTCCAAACATTCGTAGATCGTCGAACGTTCAAAGAGTGCCTTCAGAAGTATCCAACCCCTAATAGGATAAATCTTCAGAAGTCTGAATGTTCCACAGAAACTCTCTTGTCCCCCGTTTTTTGGCCCCCCAAACACCCCCCTATAGCCCGCAGCATAGTCCATTTGCACGACCACCGTGGAATTCGTAGAAACATTGGACCTTTTAGGTAGAAATCCATTAATTTGCAACGAGTTCATACATGCACGTGTTACGACCCCTGCGTGACCCTTAGGTTCTATGAGAAACGTCCGTTGGTACAATAAGTACTTAAGGTATACAGGTCGATGGAGGCTAGTGTCGGTGCAGGATGAAGGATACTCTAGCGAAACGTAGCCGAGAACCCTCCCGCAAAATGTTTGACCACCTTGTGCCGATAGAATCCAATCACCTGTCTTTTTTGCCTTGTGAACCCCGACCTATAGGTACAAGATCCTGGCGCCAGCTGCAGTCGATAAAGTGGCCTCCGACCCGAAGAAGGCCGCTGCGGCGATCTTGGAAGCGTCTGGTCTTGATCCCGACCAATATCGTCTTGGACACACCAAGGCACGTTTCCCTTTCGCGACTGTGACCACCCCATGGCACATGGGGATTTGTTCGATTACGTTTCTAATTTACAGCAAGCTTTACGGGACGCGCTGTTGATTGTTAAGCTATAACTCGTACGTTAAGGATAATGTTGCGAGCAAATGAAATATTTTCAGATGAGCTGCTAGATGAAATGAGCCATTTTGAAAGTGTCCATTTTTCAAAGAAATCAAGTTAAACCGTTATAATAGCTATAATTCTACATAATCTTTGTATTCTTTAATAGTTTTCTAATCTTTTTTCTGTGAACTTAAGCCCCTTTCAACATAAACGGTTCAAATGTCCATTTAATGAAACGTTCTCAGTGAGTTTGGATAGTATTTAGCTATCTGCGATTTGAATATCTTCAACTGGATTAATGGCAACTAAGAATTTTTAATCATTCAATTGATGCAGAGGTTAATTTTATTTGAATATAAAGGTTTGAGGAAGATTTTCAAACGATCAGCAATGAAAAGAAATGTTAGATAAATGAATATTTTTAATTCTGATGGCGTTTAATTGATAATATTGTTTAGATAGTAGTAGTATTTATCATAATAAATAGACATAGATACAAAACACTTCTGACACTCAAATGGAACATTTGTTTAGATAGAAACCTTCAACAGTGTTCCATCAAGAAATTCATAATTTCAGTTTCTTTGCTCTCTATGTGCAAACGAATACTTCAAACAAAACAGAGTTATAGTTATAATAATCAACGCTGTCCTGTATAAATGTTCACAGCGCCGTGCAAACGTGTCTAACCAAAGGAACCAATACTCTATGGACCGAGTGATACGTTTACGATTGCCCTATCGTTCTCAGATCCCATTTAAATTTCTAAGACAGACTCGTATTTCTTCTGTTGCAATTCAATGAGAAATATTTGGAGAACCGATCGATACATAATAACGATCATTTCGAAAGAATGAAATACGAGTTTCGTTTAGAAGTTTCGAATATCCTTATGTAAAAGGAACGAACATCAAAAGGACTTCGAACAGTCCTGTCATAGCCCGAATAATATAACATTTATACCATCACATACAAGTTGTCTAACAGTGCGTGATAATCTTGTCTGTTGTGCCGCCTCACCATAAAACGAACCGCCGCAGATACAAAATTCTGTGTGCAAATGCCATCAAAGAACCTTGCGAACCACAAAAAGCAACCCAACTGATCCTGGATGCAATCAATTTGGAACAAGACCAATATCGTATGGGTCTCACCAAGGTATTAGACACCTTTGGTTTTCCTCTCGGTATTTCTTCGTGCAACATCAACATAACCATAACACAATTCACCCTTTAACACTAGGATTATCGAGCATTTAATACGATTAATATGTAATCCGTGTAAAAATTGTAACAATAGATTATCTTCGGTTACTTCAGAAATTCATTATAGTATTGAAGTGAAATTATTTTCAAGATCATTGAGAATATTCGATGCTTTTAAGATATGAATAATTGAGAAATAAGACAATCGAAACCAGTCATTTTGACTCATTTCGTTATACTGTCTAATTTCCAATCAAACTGTTATAAGTGGTAGACGTGCCTTATTATCAATTAATCACAAAAATGAAATTTAACCTCCAGCTACTACAGTCAACAACAATGTACGCATCGTATAACACCTATTTTGCTTCTCAGTGAGTTAAATTAACGAACTATATCCGTCTGTGTGATTCCAAGTAAATTGTCTCGAATTTTGATCCACTGAAATCTTGCATGACAATGCCTTTGTCTATGAAAGGATAACCTACAGAAGTACACTTACTTTGATTATTTATTTAATTTAACCTTTCTCTGCGATTTCGACAATTTACATAAGATCCTAAAAACGTACGAATGTTTTTATCCAATCATTCCACACGTTTGTACATTTGCAACATAAGCAACTCAATAAAATCTGGTTTAACAATAATCTTCATAACAAAACATTTGACACATGCCACCGCCTGGCAAACAAAATTTTGGAACAAGTATCTACAATATATTTGTTACCCTCCAAAATTCCAGAAATATTTCCTAATTTTTCCACACTCAAAATCCCAAATGATCGTCGAATATTGCAAACGAGAACAGGTTAACAAATAATTACCTTTCATGCGTATATTTACGTGTATAATTAAATATACGTAGATTCATACGAGTGAAACGTGAAGATTGTATTTCACGTCTGAAACAACGTCCGCGTGGAAAATAAATAATCAAAGTACTGAATGGCAACGTTAGAAGGGCCATTATTAATTGATATGTTTGTTGCGTTCGGCCACTTTGACAAAAACAGGTATTCTTCCGTGCCGGAGTCCTGGGTCAGATGGAAGAGCTTCGCGATGAACGTCTGAGCAAGATCGTGTCTTGGATGCAGGCGTACATCAGAGGTTACCTGTCCCGAAAGGATTACAAGAAACTCCAGGAACAACGTCTCGCGTTGGTGGTCGTACAGAGGAACTTGAGAAAGTACTTGCAACTTCGTACTTGGCCATGGTGGAAACTCTGGCAGAAGGTCAAGCCTCTCCTCAACGCCACTCGTATCGAGGATGAGCTTGCTGTAAGTGCTTCTCAAAAGATACACTTGATACTTTCGATTGGTTTTGGAACATTGAGGTATTTAAAATTATATGGACATTGGGAGTTTCACTTGTAACATCTGTGTAGCTGAGACCTTTTTACTTGTTGCTGTGGTAAGAGCTCGGTACTTAGTATTTAGTATTCGGTATTCGGTATTCGGTATTCGGTATTCGGTATTTAGTATCTGGTATTTAGAATTTGATAGTTTGATGTTCGGTATTTGATATTCAGTATTCAATACTTAGTATTCAACATTCAGTATTGAATTTTCAGTATTGAATTTTCAGTATTGAATTTTCAGTATTCGATATTTAGTATTCAATATTCAGTATTCAACATTCGATATTTAATACTCAGTATTCATTATTCAGTACTTAGTATTCACCATCAACCGTCAACTTCAAAACATTCATCTACTCAACTGTTGAAAAACCAATGTCCATGTAAAGAGTTTAACACCAGTTATTTAAGTTTTTAACAAAATTGAACACAACTGAACATATTTCTATGTCACATATTTCGTAAATCAATTTACGAAACAGATTAATCATTATTCGTTAAAACATCGCAGCAAATCAATTTTGTTCAGAACTACTTAACACTTGAACTTTTTCATTTCGCGTTTAAGTCATTTATTTTCCAGAATCTCGATAAATCTCAGAAACATTTCATACGTTCGTGATCGAACCAATAAGAAAATGTGAATATGTGGTAAGAGTTCTCGATCAACGCCAACTTAAGTCGATTCATCTTCTTCCGACACTCTTTTCGTATAAACCGCGGCCATTCTCGATTCACAGTTCTCCACTGTTCGCGGAAAAATGAGATTTACCCAGCTCCCGAGCGTAAACAGCCGTTTTCTGTTAAAGATCTAAGAGTTTAGAACCATCTGGGAGCGCGGGCAACGCCAGTTGGTAAAACACACTACGCGGAAAACTGATTTCTCGATAATTTACGAGTGCCGAACGGAAATCCCGGGTTCCAGCGTAGAATTTGTTTCTTTGTTCATCCAGGCTCGATCATTTCGATCGCTAAACGCGCGTCGGGTTCTAGCGCTATGTTTATTTTCGCAACCTCGCCATTTACTCTTTTTACCTTCGTTCGCGCTGTAAAACACCGAACTTCTTTCGCTCGCCAACGGAACACGGAATTATATCCGGTAGCTTACGTCGGAACCTTGTTTCAATTTAATCGTGTCAACCCCAATTTTCATCCATCATTACAGTCTTCCTGGTTTTTATCCGTCATTAAAATAAGAAACAAGGAAATGGGAACATTCTCGAATCGAAGATTTCCGGACGTTAGAAATTTCGAAATTCGATCTGAAAGAAATATTTCTATGTGACATTGTCTCGTTTAATTTTAGAGGAAACCTTTTAGAATATAATAACAGATCGTCGCGAAGCTATTATAATTTTTTTCATATCATTTCGTTCTCTTCTCTCTTTCACTCGGCGTTACGAAAGTGTTATCCCTTTGCTAAAAATATACACTTGAAAATAGGAATAGGATTACACGCAAAGTGATTCAACGAGTCTCGTGACTGTTCTGTAATTAAACGCGCGCCGGTGTCTTGGATCTGAGTAAACACGATTGAATCAATTTATTTTTACTTTTTTCCGCGGCGTGCTTTCGAATCGAAATCTTTCGATCTCGTATCGACGGAAGGAAAGATAGTTTTTTATCGTTTGAAACACTTACGTGATATCTAAAAATCCCATTAAAGAGTGGTTTTATAAAGACAGCCCAAAGAAACCTAAAATTTGCCGATTTACATTGAACATTTAGGAACAACATTAGTTTCATCACTTCTCTTGACCTTTTATCTTGAAATCTTTATTTACTTATCAATTTTTATTTTATTTGCATTTGTTAAAAATCACAACTCGCGATCTCAACCCCCATGATTTCTACCATCACACTTTCGTTGAAAGTATTTTATCGTTAATAATTCACTAAAAACAAAGACAAATTCTCTGTTTCTCCTGTCAACCCATTTACTTTATCGATTAAGACTCTGTCATAGGAAAGTAACATTGCATTTCAATTGAAACGAACACAGTGGTATTCACATTTGCTAACGTCTCTTCGAAATTGATGCGAGTTTGAAATTATAAGACAAGGGATTAACCCTTTGCCCTTCAGTCGCCATTTGACTCGACCCAACAAGATTATAAAATTTAGAATTCAATATTAAATTTTATATAATATATCAACACACAGAACATCGGAATAGTTCTGTCACTTAATTTATACAAGATATTTCAGTTATGTTCTTGGCCATTTAATTCGACCCAACAAAATGACAAAATTTAAAATTCAATATTCAATTTTATACAACGTATCTGTTATAAGTTCTGTTCCTTAATTTATACAAGATGTTTCTTTAAGTTAATACGAAAATAAAGGGTTAATACGAAAAATGGACACGTAATTGGACGAGTTGATTCATTCGAAGCACGTTCGACGGAATTTTTCGACGGGTGTCACGCGTTTGAAACGTTGAACTTCCGAAAATTCCGATTGTACAACAGTCAAAAGCTATGCGTCTCGTTCCAGGTTATTTCAGCAACTTAAAAATAAATTTCCGCGGAGTCTCTTCACCGAGCGATTCCGATCTTCAGTTCTCACTGGAATATATATATATATATTTTTTTTTAATCCTTAGAACCATGCCGCTATAAATAAACGGAAATATACTTTTTTTTTGTCGCGGCAACGATCATAAAGATGTCCGAAAGATTCCGAGTCCTCAATCTGTTAGGTGACTTGGTGTCACCGATTATTCATTGTATCTAATTCCATCTTGGAAACGGGAAGATCGCCCTTTCGGTATATTTAGTATGACTCCGTTCTAGAGGACTATTTTTAAAAATGCACCGTTAGAAATGTTGAATCACATACAAACCCGAGTACGATTTCTGGATCGTTCTTTTCGAAAGGATTGATTCGAGATCGGTATCGTTGTGTTTGTCCTTTTTGAAATTTAAATGCGAGAGGAGTGGGTTTAGTTAGTGTTATAATTGTGTTTAGCTGGTATTACAGTTGCTTCGGTTGATGATACAATTATATTTGGTTGATGTTAAAGTCGGTTTATCGTATTTAGTTGTTATTAAAAGTCACTTGAGTCGATGTTACTATTATATTTAGTTGCTGTTAAAGTCACTTGATTATATTTAGTTGCTATTAAAAGTCACTTCAGTTGATGTTACAATTACATTTAGTAGCTGTTAAAGTCACTTGATTATATTTAGTTGTTGCTAAAGTCACTTGATTATATTCAGTTGCTGCTAAAATCATTTCTGAATCGAATCAAACGATTACATAAAGCCAACCACTCTTTCCCTCATTTACAATCAAGAAGTGATTCACTCATCACTCATCGAACCAAATCCAAATAAGGAGAACAGTTCAACAAGCCTCTATGCAACACTCAATGCACCATGAACCTTAAATAACTAAACATCCATCTAAATAGTCCATCGACTTTTGCCATTTTCACAAATTTCAATTCAGTAATTTAAAATTTTTTAAAATTTTAACAAAGTATCATTTTATCAAATGATTCAGTTCGCGCATTGCCAAATCAATTTCCTCAATAATCCCCTCGAACCATCACCTTTTCAATCATTACGAAAACAAGAAACCAAGAATTCTTCCAACTCGTCTACTAGTTTCAATGCTAACACTACTTGTATAAAAAATGTCAAAAGCCACTTTCGAAGTTTCAACTTAAAATTATTTCCTCGGTTTAACAGTCCTCAATTGAATTTTCCACATTTCCTATAGTTAATCTCACAATCGTTATTAGAAAAGTCGAAAAGTCAATTCATATACGACTAAACTCGGGAAAGAATTTTAAGATAAAATTTCAGATGCCATTTGACATCTTCGGTAGAAATGGTGTTAACATTATCGACGTTTCATAAGAAAATAGTGAATATTTGTGACGATGAGTGAACTTTGGTGTAACACGGTAGAAATAGTTAAAGCCAATCTCGAATCCAGATACTCGACAATCCGAACTACTGTAACCGACCACACCTAGTAATCGGTAGACCATCCATAAATCGTGAAATCAAAGAAGAATCCCCGCGATCGTTTCCCGTCCGGTTCGATCCGGTGTCATCAGCCATGGCGCACGCCGACACCGTTTCGCGGGCCGGCGACAGTCGTAATTAGACCAGCCGCGATCTAAGGTCGCCACACGTTTAATCATCGCGATTATCCGAATCTTCCGCCGGGCCAACGAAAATAACGTTAGTTCGACTGACGTCCTATCGAAAATAGTATCATTCGCTATAAACGATGTTGCCGCGGTCTCTATCCTCGCGGCTGCGCAGTAAAACGATCCCGGCGTTGCCGGTCCTCGTTCCCAACTACGGCGTAGGCGACCGATTTCCACGGTCCCCCAAGAATTACGAGGTCGATCGGCGTGTTCCACCCTCTGGAGCGTAAAAGGAGAGTGGAGTTTGACCCGTCCGACCCTCCTGGAACAGTTTCTAATTCCGTCGATCCCCCACTCGCCGGTCAGCCCCCTCCCGCGAGCACTCGTCGGGATCGGTTATAAATATTTTTCTACGATGAATATTACTGGAGTGGGGACGATTGCCGATTCTTCTTTAGCGAGCGCGAAGAGGGATTTTCGGTAGAAAAGTTGAGCCTCTGGTAAACCGGGGAGCAGTTGGACCCGCGACCTCGCGCCGAGCCCTTCGATCGTAAATTTTCTCATTCTCGAACCCCGTCGAATCGTGTTCTCCTTTCTTTCTTTCTGCCTTTCCTCCCTCATTCTTTTCTTTTCGTTTCTCGTCATATTATCGACACGCATTTTCGAACGCCACGCGTCTCGCCGCGTACACGACACGAATAATTCCTGTGCGGAGTACCGATCCGATCGAACGAGAGAACGGCGGGCTCCGTTACTTTTTGGATAGCCGTCGTCCGTTGGTTACGAGAGTCTTCGGAGTAAACGACGCGGTTTAACGATCGTTCGAGTTCCTGGATATCATCTCGCGATCTGTGAGCCGAGGGTGCAGGCATGGGTGACACGTTGGTCGAGGATTCGAGCCCCGCGGCGAACCTGAACGGTGACACGGACTCGCGGTTGCAGGCGCTCGAGGAGAAAGCGAGAAAGGCGCAGGAGGCCTTCGAGAAGGAAGAGAAGCTGCGCAAGGAGCTCGAGGAGCAGAACACCAAGCTACTCAATGAGAGGAATGCCCTGCAACGGCAGCTCGACGGCGAGAAGGGCTCGCTCTCCGAGTACATGGAGAAGTCGTTGAAATTGGCCGCGCAGAAGTCCGATCTCGAATCTCAACTTCAGGTAAGAGATTTATTATTTTATTTTTGGATTCTATGGTGGGACACTTTATTGTGGATATGGGAATCTATAGAATACGGTCTCAAGTTATTGGGAAGGTACTTTGGAGTGTTAACTAACACTTCGTGCTAAAGTGCCGATTTTCTGTTTCGAGGCAATCGGAGGAATAGTGAATGTAATTATGAAATTGTTTGATGGGAATAAATGGAAGTTTTCTAGTAGTTTCGTTGGGAGATTATAATATTCTGTATAATCTTCTGAATCTTTAACGATAGCAGTTTTATGTTGGTACACGGTTTTCGCTGAAAAATATTAATGATGAATCTTCTGGAGCTTCGAATGATCGGTTTGTCTTGAAAAGGTTTTTGCTCTCTCAATGACTATTATAGATCAACGAAATAGTACGGTGTTAATATTAAGTTTCTTCTTATCTTCGATAAAGGAAAAGGTCAGTTTTCGCACGAAGAAATTTGATTGAACTGTATGGCGCTCGATTCATCCAATGAAGTTTTCAATGTTTTGTTTTCAATCTTTCAATGTTCAAGACTTCTTTAGATGTTTGCTTCAGTTTCTACAGTTCCTATCAGAGTATTTACTTAGAGAACCGCGAAACTCGCGGAAAAGCAAGAATGCTTGTTATCTAACCGAATTTCCGATCGTTGAAAGTCGTGCGATATCTCAGCAGATGACGACGAGACGATTTTCCCGCAGAAAAAGCGCTCGCGTTAGAAAGTAGTACAATTGGCACGGGTACACCGATAACGAAACCCATCTCCGCGATGATAAGCACGCGTCCTCCAAGAAATCGAATCATGAATCAAACAACCGATAATTATACCGCGTAGTGGAATGACTGGATGTCGAAACTAAAGAGAATGGGGTTATTAATGTTTTCCCAATGATCCCAAGGCTGATTAGGTAAAACAGCGAACGATTACAAGAACAGTTTAGAAACGAAAATAATCATCGCCAGTGAGAGAGACCACGCTCGAAACGCCGTGAAAAGAATCGCAGGACGCGAAACTATGCTGGACTTTATTTATAATGTGGAAACGTAAATAACTTCGTTGGTGGTTTCCTACATACTTCTCCAGAAATAATCCTTGGAATATGTACACGCATATGTGTGCATGTAACAGTATTCAGTTTAATACTAGAACTACCAGGATCAAAATGGCCAATTCTAAATTTCTTATTTTATAATTACTGTGAAGGTACAGTCACTTTTTTAACGCTGTTTCTAGCTTGGAAATTGTAACTGGAAGTTAGCTTCTGAGTTTAATCAGTTTTCCTGAATTAAATTTTTGATAGTTCCCATGATTAATTTTATTATCGTTGGTGGAAAAGTCGAGAAATCAATTCAGAATATACAGCTGAACTTGGAAAATCATTTTAAGTAAGAATTTCTATGTCTTTCGACACCTTCGGTGGAAATAGTGTAAAGAAATGATTAAAGAAGATTCAGCGATACCCAAAATGAAATACAAGCTTCATAAATTCACGGTTACAGCTTTTATAAAAGCATTTTATATCACTGTACATAGAAAAACTCAGATATCATATTGTTACGTAATATATTTTAAATTCGATAATCAGTTCTAATCAAACTTAATATTTCTTTAAATACTGTGGTAATTAGCTAATTTTCTTCATAGAAAAACGAAATTTCTCGTTAGCAGTACGCAATGTGTTAAAAACACGACTCAGCTGTTCCCAGTTCTAGTATTAATAAGTCTACAAAATTTCCTTTGAAATCAGGAAAAATCCACGAAACGTTCAATGCAATAAAATATCGTTGATCGATATAAGAGTATCTAATTACAAAATTTTCGATTCATAACTCTCGAACGATCCACTAAACAGAAGTGTTCGTACGAGCCGTTGAAAGTTGGCAAAAAGGAAAAGATCGTTTCGACTGGAATCTCTGGATGTTTTTATTCGAGGAGCCAGCGACAACTTTATTCGAGGTAGGAGGGGCCGATCAAAAATAGGTTCGGAACGTTTGTATCAATTTCTCCAAACGAAATTAGACCCGTGGTTTCTGAATCAGAAAATAACGGTAAGAGAGCGAGAGCGAGAGCGAGAGCGAGAGCGAGGCGATAAAATTTGGGAAGTGATAAATTCTCGACACGGGCCTCCTACGAGTGTTTTCTTGGGATAAGTTTGAAACTCGAGCACCGCAGGTATTTGATCGTAATTTATATGGACCTGGCTCGGGTTACCGAGAATGATGCATCTGACAGGACTTGATGCATCGCCGTTGCGCAACAGGCACATGCACAAAGTAGCGAGGGCGCGTCATTAGTCAGACCGCGGGTCTGACTTCATCGTTCGCCACGCGAGCCGTTCGTTCCGTGACGGATTATTCTACTGCGTCGCCTACACTTTCGCCTATTTATTCCGCGGATTACTTCGCTTCGAGGGTTTTTTTTTAGTGGTTGTCAAGTTGTTTCCCTTCGGTTTGCGAAAGTTTGAATGTTGGATTTTGAACTCAGAAGATTCTGTGATTTTAGTATCTTTATCATTTAGGATCTTTTCGTGTTTAGTGAAGAATATTTCTTTTTCAGCGTTTCTCAAGTTAGTTTCTTCACTTCTTTGCAAAATTTTGGATGTTAGATTGCAAAGCAAGAAGAAGGAAAGTTTCTTAGTGTTCTTAACAAATTGATCTTCTGGTTTTTATTAAATAATATTCCTTTCTATTACTTGTCCAGTTGTTTCCCTTCGGTTTACGGAGGTTTGGATGTTGGATTGTAAACTAAGAAGATTTTGTGATTCTAGTAGTAGGTTCTTTTCGTTTTTATTGAAAAATATTTTGTTTTATTACTTTTCAAGTCGTTTTCTTTACTTTGTGAAATTTTTGGTGGTAGATTGTGAACCAAGAAGAAGATTTTGTGGTTTTAGTAGTAAATCGAGAATCTTTAGGTTTTTATTGAAAAATGTTCTTTTTTATTACTTTTCAAGTCGTTTTCTTTACTTTGTGAAATTTTCTATGGTAGATTGTGAACTAAGAAGAAGGAATATTTCGTGATTTTAGTAGTAGACCGAGGATTTTTTCGTCTTTAGTGAAGAATATTTCTTTTTTAGTGTTTTTCAAGTCGTTTTCTTCACTTTGCGAAATTTCTGATGTTAGATTGTAAACCAAGAAGACGGAAAGTTTTATAGTGTTATTAACAGATGGATCCTTTCGCTTTCATTGAAAAATATTCGTTTTTATTAGTTTTCAAGTTGTTTTCCTTCAGTTTGCGAAAGTTTATATGGTGGATCGTAAACTATAAAGGAAGATTTTATAAAACTATTAATAAACCAAGGATCTTTGCCTGTTTAGTGAAGAATACTACTTTTTCAGTATTTTTCAAGTCGTTGTTCATTGAAAAATATTTCCTTCTACCAATTCGAACGTGGATTCGACATTTCCAGATTTTCATTGAACTGTCAAACGTGTATGATTTCTATATTAGACAGCTGGTTTTCGAAGACTATTAATATTCATTAGTAAACAGGAACTTCGAATGTAGTTGAAGAAGTTAATAATTATCATCTGGAACATTTCGCAGATCTTATTTCTCTAGGATATACAATTCTCTAAGTAAAATAAACGTTCGTCAGCTAACAGCAGTGGCGAAAATTGAAATTTTAAATCTAATTTACATTCTCTCGTTAGATGAAACATTTGACTGTTGGTTACTCACCGATCCTCGATTCTTCGAGCCATCCACGAGCTCTGTCGCGCCCCTTAATAAATCCGTCCAAATTTAAAAATGTTGGAGAACTTCTCGGAAAATCAGGCTCGCTCCAGAATTCCAGACTATTTTCGGCGATCTTTTAAATTACAGACCAGCTCGTATTTCTTGTCAACACCAGTCCCATGGCGGCTCCAGGGAAGATTTAGATTCGCCCCGTTCATTTTTTCAAGCTATTTCCTGCTTACAGAAACTTCTCTTAACTTGCCGGGCTGATTCACGTAACTTCTGTAAAATAGAAGTAACATTTATGAAATAGTTACTCTCAACGAACATTGATTCTTTAAACGACAAGCCAACGAACAATCTCGAATTATATATTTTCAACGAATCGAATTTAATTAATGATCACGATAATTTTGAAATGAAAATATTCGATTTAATAATTGAATAGTGTCGTAAGAGGTAGTAATAATTTTCACAAATTACTTAATTTTCACAAATTACTTGACTTTTCGAAATTTCTCTTTAGAAACATGAAGAGTGTATCTATTGAGACTTTAACTGGTTTACAATTCAGTTTATTGTTAAATCAATTTCTTGAATAATTTCTGTTATTTTTTTTATAAATAGGTAATAATAACAGTAATAAATTCAAAGTAGAAACATTCCATTCAATTAAGCAGTAACAATAGTAATAATTTGAATGATAGTCCTCTGCTATCATTTTGAAGTAAAAATGTAACACAAACTGAATCCAGCAAAATGGAAATCTAATCAATTGCTTTGAATCTAAACAGAAAGCTTCATTATTCCATACAATTTTTCAAATATTCATAATTAATTTTTCAAAAAAATCATTCTTTGCTTTTAAAACTGTTTCTCATCGAATGAGTCCACAAAGTTCTAATATAATCACCTAAATTCGAGAAAGCCAACAATTTTATCAGATACTACCCATAAAACTCGATATACCTCGAATTAACGCGTTTCCTAGCGTCCTTACGTTGGTACAAGCTTTTAGCTTGCTGAAGAAACATCGTATAATGAATCTTCTGAACTTTCGAATGATAGGGTCCTGTCTTGGAAACAAGTTTTTGTTTTCTTAACAGATATTATAAGTTCACGAAAGAGTACAGTATTAACTAAAAAGTTTCTTCTTATCTTCGATAAAAAAAAAAACATCGCTTTTCGTCACTGGATTCCCTCAACGAAGTTTTAGTATCTTTCAATGTTCACGGTTACTTCAGATACTTTTCATTCAGTTTCTACAGTTTCTATCAGAATATTTACTTCTCACAACGCGAGAGTCGCAAAACTCGGAATACTTCTTATCTAACCGAATTTCCGATTGTTCGAAGTCGTGCACATAATTATCTAAGTTCGATAAAGCCAACAGTTTCATCAAATACTGTATTAATAACGTTATTTTCTATCGGTACAGTATTTCACCAAATACAACACTAATAACGTTAGTAAAAATTATCCTAATTTTACCATAAAACTCGATACGCCTCGAGCTAACGCGTTTCCTAGCGTTAGCGGTCTGAATCCCTCGGAAGTAAAGCCGAAATCAGAGACGGTACCAAATATGGATAGTGTAGAGGCGAAAGAAGCCGGATAACAGAAGAAAAAGATCGTTTAAGTTGGTTTAACGTGCTTACTTAGCAGCGGAAACATTGAATAATATCCCCACCAGGGCGCCAGGGCAAATTTAGCCGGCGTCGATCCCAGATTCCAGGTTATTAAAAGTGGGTGTGGTCATGTGCTGGAACAGCCGGGGAAATGATCGAGGTAACAGGTGTAAGGTATATTTATACGTCGCTACCAGTTTATGCGTCATCGCGCAACTTCTTGGCTGTTCGTCTTCGTTTGAGTAGATCCCCTTCGTCCCTCGTCGATTAAACTATCCACCGAGTTGAACGTACTTCCGTTGCCCTCCTTACCTCGGCAACGCACACTTTCGTTCCGTTTCCGTCTATTTTAGTCGCCGCGGCCCTTACGTCGCGTTCTCGGACCGGAATCAACACAATACGTTGCAACATCATTCACGGATCATTCATTGACCCGCGACATTCTGGTTCACGTAGTTTCGCCTGTGACTGTAAGCTTGACGCTAGATTTACGTCGATTCGATGAATAACGAATGCTTTAGAGATTGTTCGGTGACGGTTTGACGCTAAAGCTAACGAGCAGTTGAACTGACTCTGAAATTTCTCTGTAGAAACTGGAAGAATGTGTTGTTGCATTTGTTGCAACATCATTCACGGATCATTCATCGATCTGTGACATTCCGGTAGACGTAGTTTCGCTTGTGACTAAGTTTGACGCTAGATTTACTTCGATTCGATGGATAACGAATACTTTAGAGATTGTTCGGTGACGGTTTGACGCTAAAGCTATCGAGCAGTTGAACTGAATATTTGAAACTCCTCTGTAGAAACTAGAAGAACGCATCTATTGAGAGTTTAATTGATTTCGAATTCGGTTCGCGTGTTCCCAACATTCTCAAATTCTTTGCACTCCGAGTTTCTTTTGCATTTTTTCCTCGATAACTCTGGATACTGGAACTTTGTGGACGAAGATTCTTTGAGATATACAAAACCTTCGACAAATGGAGCTAAGTTATATAGAAATTGATTAATTAATAAGAATAGAAAGGTACGTGATAATCTCTCGGTGTTCCAGTAATTAAAGTGATCGAATTCAATCAAATTCAATCGGATTCAATTTAAAAACGAAATCAGAGTGATCCGATATGCGAAAAAACAAAGCGGATTACGCTTGGTACATTATAGTTTAAAATTGGTGATTCTATGTTCGAGATAAATACCAGAATTCGCGTAATTTCTTATACTTAAATCAGATCTGAGATTGATTTACTCGAATTCAGAATGGTTCGTCGTTATTTCCGTGAATTTTCGCTTAGACTTTCTATTTATGTGGATAGAAGTTAGGTAACAGCCTGGTTAGTGTCGGTTATCGATGAATCAAGTGAGATATTTGAGATTCAAGGTGTCGGGAAACTTGGGTTTCCGGACTTTGTCAGGACAAGATTAATGGAACGTTCATTTAGCCGACACGTTGCAACTTTCGACACTTGTGATCTAGAATTATAGAATCTTGAGAAAGCAAAAGGAATGTTTAAGACAGAATCGATAGAAACTACTGCCAATGCTACGTGTGTAGAGGAAAGATTATTTTAATGGAAGAATTTGATAAAAATTCGTCGCATGTTGATAGTTTCAAAGAAGAAAATAGAATTGTTAATCATTTCAAAGAAGATTCAATTGTTGACAGTTTCAAAAAAAATTCAATTGTTAATAGTTTCAAAGAAGAGGATTCAGTTGCTAATACTTTCAAAGAAGAAGATTCAACTGTTAATAATTTCACAGAACATTCGATTATCAATAATTTCAAACAAGAAGATTTAATTGTTAATAGTTTCAAGGTAGAAAATTGAATTATTACTAATTTCAAAGAAGATTCAATAGTTAATAGTTTTAAAAGAGAAAATACAGTTGCTAATAGTTTCAAAGTAGAAAATTCAATTGTCAATAGTTCCAAAGAAGAAAACTCAATTATTAATAGTTCCAAAAAAGAAAATTCACGAGAGATTCACAAAGAACAATCGCTCTTTAACCATCGCACAAAAACAGAACAGAACAAATAATAACGTACCGCTTCCCTTCCGATTCGCAGGATCTCAACGACAGATTCAAAGAAGAGGAGGACACGAGGAACAATCTCTTCCAAAACAAGAAGAAACTCGAGCAAGAAGTAGCGGGTCTGAAGAAAGACATCGAAGACCTCGAGTTGAACCTCCAGAAATCCGAGCAGGACAAAGCGACGAAGGATCACCAGATCCGCAACTTGAACGACGAGATCGCCCACCAAGACGAGCTGATCAACAAACTGAACAAAGAAAAGAAGAACCAGGGCGAAGTCAACCAGAAGACTGGCGAAGAGCTCCAGGCCGCTGAAGACAAAGTGAACCACTTGAACAAAGTGAAAGTCAAACTAGAACATACCCTCGATGAACTCGAAGACTCCCTCGAACGTGAGAAGAAATCACGGTTAGTCGTTTGGTTTTTCAAATACAACCTGAACACTGTAATATTCACACTGATCAGACTGGCCACCATTGTCATCTCAGATCTTTCAACGAAACTTAACAGTAGAGTTGATTTCGTAATTACTGATATCTTGGAACCGTTAAATATCTAGAATTATTTAAAAAATAAGTAATTTTACTTGCATACTGTAGGGAGTACACAAAGAAAGTTGAACAATTGCACTTATATACTGTTTTTATATGGTATTACTCATAACAAACGTTTGGCAAGTCCTAGTGTTACCGCTAAATTTACGGAACGAGCCAATTTGATTCACATGATTTTGATTGATTCAGTTACATGATTGTGGTTCCTAATAACACACTTTCAAACATTTAATTTTCTAGATCTAAACGGGCAAATATCAATTTTTCTGGGAAGAATAGAATAAACTGTACAATAAATGTCTATAAATCTAGTGTTAACACAAGGATCACATTAATAAATGAACATTCAGTTTGTATTTGATTCCACTTTCTTTCTGTAATCTTGCAGTGTACTTATTTATTTAGAATGGTCAATTGTGCTTTGTAATTGAAATGTGATATCAGGAAAAGTAAGAAGTGTTGGTCAATTGATTTAAGAGTGATGAGTATGTAGATTCATTTGAAACAATGAATTCAAGGATTGGTGTATTTATTCTTTTACAGAGCTGATGTAGAGAAATCCAAGAGGAAGGTTGAAGGAGATCTGAAACTCACTCAGGAAGCCGTCGCCGACCTCGAGAGGAACAAGAAGGAACTCGAACAAACCATCCAACGCAAGGACAAGGAACTCTCGTCTTTGACAGCTAAACTCGAAGACGAGCAATCCTTGGTCGGCAAACTGCAGAAACAGATCAAGGAATTGCAAGCCCGCATCGAAGAACTCGAGGAAGAAGTGAGTCCACAAAATCTTCACGCTATCGTGTTCTTATTGGCTAGGATACAAGCTTCCTAAGTTCAACAATTTAAGCCATTGTACTTAACACACGAGCATCGACATCTGATTCAACACAATACAATTATAGAATTAAGAATTGAACATTGAATTTTGCATGAGGTATTAACGCATGAAACACTGAAATGGAATATTTTTAACCCTTTGCATTGGAAAAATTTGCAATAGAGGTACTCTACATTTTCTGATGAGATGGAGACAGTCTTTAAAACTAATTAATGAGAGAACATATAGAAATGAAACAAAGCTGTGTTATTTGTATATTTCACATATTGATTTATTATAATTTTGCTACATCAAATCAGTGTCACCTCTCTGGAGCAAAGGGTTAATTTGCACAAGATTTTTCTTAATGTTAGTTAACACTATTTCTACCCAAAGTGTCAAACGACACTGAAATTTTAACTTATTATTGTTTTCTCAGTTTAATCACTTTTCCCCCCATTGAATTTTGGACGTTTCCTGTTATTGGAAAAGTCTAGAAGTCAGCTCAGAATATGCAATTAAACTTGAAAAATAATTCTAAGATAAAATTTCAGACGTTTGACACCTTTGGTAGAAATAGTGTTAATAGCATTATCAACGTTTCGTACGAGAATAATGAGTATTTATAGTGAGAAATATCGTCGAGTGCGATGAGTTAACTTTGGTGTAATACTCTTGACTATTATACTATTAATTATCGTGCTGTACTAAAGGGCACTGATTAATCTCTGTTCCATTCGTTCTTCAAGATCGAAGCTGAGCGTGGCTCTCGCGTGAAAGCCGAGAAGCAGCGCAGCGACCTTGCTCGCGAGCTCGAGGAACTTGGCGAACGTCTCGAAGAAGCTGGTGGCGCGACGTCCGCTCAAATCGAACTCAACAAGAAGAGAGAAGCCGAACTTAGCAAGCTCCGCAGGGACCTCGAGGAGGCCAACATTCAACATGAGGCCACCCTCGCCAGCTTGCGCAAGAAGCACAACGACGCCGTCGCCGAGATGGGCGAACAAATCGACACACTCAACAAACTTAAGGCTAGGTAAGCTGAAGTCGAGTTTATTTTATACTTTCAAGATCAAGTTTACTTTGTTCCTTAAAGATGCATTCCTGCAACATGCAATTTTATTCTTTAAAGATGCGTTTTATTTTATTTTTTAAAGATACATTTGATTTTAGATTTTAGAGGTTCATTTGATTTTACTCTTTCAAGCTCAATTTTACTTTATTCCTTATAGATACATTTGATTTTATTCTTTAAATACACATTTCAGTTTATTCTTTAAAGATGCATTTTATTTTATTTTTTGAAGATACATTTGATTTTAGTTTTTAAAGATACATTTAATTTTATTCTTTAGACATACATTTCATTTTATTCTTTAAATATACATTTGATATTAGTTTTTAAAGATACATTTCATTTTATTCTTTAAGCATACATTTGATTTTAGTTTTGAAAGATAAATTTTATTTTATTCTTAGTCCTTAAAGGGACTACACAGTGTGTCCTTGTGTACACACTTTATTCCAATAACTTTATATTTTCATCAACTTTTACTATAAATATACACATGCACATATAAGTACAATTCTAATGGTTCTAAAATATCAAATTCATTAAAAGTACCAAAATGAAGAACCAAGAACATTTCGGACCTCAAACTGTTGAAGACTTAAAAAATCCCCTTTACAAAATTGACCTTATTGAAAAAACATTTCCTAACCAGGAGACATTCTTAGTGCTAGAGAAGTACCGAGAAGTATAAATGACTAACTCATATGCAATAATTACAAAAATCTTCATAACCTCAATATGATATTACGAAAAATCACAAACGAGTCATTTTAACTTATCCGGTGCTTCTAATGTTCGCAAAAAAATTCACCATCGAGTCACAGGGAGAAAATAACGTTTCTAAATAAGGAAGCATACGTTCACGTGCTAGAAACACGTGCAGGAAATCATCACGTTTAACCCTTTGGCTACGTCAAAACTTTGCATCAACGTATTTCTAAGAAAGCATATCAAAACCATCAAAACACTAAATTAAATAAAATTAAACCAATGTAAAATAATGATATTTCTATAATATATAACTAACGTAAGACGTAATTGTTAAATTAAAATTCTCTCACGTCAAATCCAAGCCAGCTTCGTTGCAATTATCGTCAAATGCATTGTACTGCCGCCAGTTGGCGCCAACAGTACACCGGAAGTAACTTTCTCAAGCGCTTTTAGGTGCCAACAGTAGCCAAGAGGTTAAAATGATCAAAGTTAACCCTCTATAAACCGAATGTTTTCTCGTGACCATAAAAAAATGTGTGCAGTATAACATGAACAACTATCAACCTATAACTTCAAATTAACAATATATTCAATAGTTTTAATAATTGCATTAAAACGAGTACATCTTGTCACTTTGAAAATACAATGACGAACTTTCAATGCCAGAGTGTAAAAGTTGAAGTTAATTAATTACTGAATTTTACTCGCCACTTTGCTATGGAAAATAAAATGAATCAACAATATGCCAATATATTAGCACGCGACCTGAAAATCACACAAGCTTATAGAGGGTTAAAATAATCCAAAGTGTTTACCACGAAAACAGAGAGCATCTCCAGCAAAACGATAAAAAAAATCCCGTGAAAGAACCGCAATTGCAATCTATTGTTTCCATTAGAGCCGAAAAGGGCCGTCATGACATCCACTCCGAGCTGAATAATTCTCGCGCCACGACGGATCAGGTTTCCCGTGAAAAGGTACCTTGAAATCGACAGCATGAAATCAGTCCCAGTGACGAATGAATGATTCCGTTTGAAACAGTTCGTCCGTCTGTCTTTGCACCCCATTGATTCTGCCCCTAATGTTCTTACAATTACCACAGGAGTGTCTCCGTTCATGTCATAGCCTGTCTAATCGTCAATTGTCTTCAACGTACGGGAATGAGCACGAAAATTCTACCCTGTTTCACGTTGTAATCGAACTTTCAGGTTTTTGTCAAATGGTTTTCAACTGTATGTCATCAAGTGATTTAATACATGTCTCTAACGCTTGAACTACCGTGGATTTATTAGGGCTGATACGCAATGTTTATAAAGATTGTAATAGCACATTTATTTTTGATTTATTTAGATAGTTTTTTTATAATACCGCGGTTTTCCAACGTGGGAGGCGCCAAAATTTTTAATAAAAATTAATGTTCATACCATAATGTCTAGAAATAAATAAACTTCATATCGCAACGTAACAGTAGAAATTCAGTGAAGTAATGTCTATTTTGTGATAAAATTATTATTATTTAAAACTTTAAGTATTTTAAAATTATTAAAAAATCATTAATAATTACCTTTAATATCATTTGCCGTTGTTATTAAAGAATAAATATTACTATTTTTGTTAGGAAAGCGCAATAGCATAAAAGTTGGAAATCGCGAATATTATAATATAATATTCAAATGAGACTATTTATTTTGAAAATCATTTCGAACATCGAGTATTTTCGAAATATCAATAATTATGAAATAAGAAGACTGAAACTGGTGATCTTGACACGGTAGTCCTAGTGTCGAACCAAAATTGGAACTTGGAGAACTTTAAAACTTCATTGTCATGTCTTGTTGTCCAGTTACTAATAATTCTCCTCTTTGAATCTGTTTCCATCGAAACCAGGGTTGAAAAGGATAAGGTTCAGTACTTCAGCGAATTGAATGATATGCGCGCGAGTGTAGATCACCTGAGCAACGAGAAGGTAAGACCGTCGTCCAGCAGTGTATCACTAGAGTTACAGCAGACTAACGCGACTAACAGCTTTGCCAGGTAGTCGTCACTGCGGCGGAAGGAGACCGACACCAGAGAGACGTGTCGTATACCTTGAGAATGTTTCCCTACCTAAATTCCGCCGTTGGAAATTGTGTCCAGCTTGAAAAGCTTGCTCCTCGTTTGTACTTTTTGTATTTGATAAACGGATTCACTTTGGGACGACGCTGCGGATACCGGAGGGTATCTGAAAAATTGTATAATGAGTAATTAAGCGGTTGTGCATTCTCAGTTTGCCTTAACGTTTGTCGTTATCGATTTTCGTGGTAATGATGATTAATTATTATCGGTTCAAGAATAATAGTTCATTATGTTATGGACGATTATTAATTTATTATTATTAATTTCTCTAGTAACAATAATTATCAATTCGTGCAATAAGAATAATAGGTCATTGCGTTACCATCAACGATTATTAATTTATTACCATTAATCAATTGGTTAATTATTACCAATTCGTACAATAAAAATGATAATTACTCACGTTACTGTCGACAGTCACCAATTTATTATTATCAATATCTCTAGTAACGACGATCAATTATTACCACTATCACGATAAGAATAATAATGGCAACAAACCGCCCGAAAAGATCCTCCCAAATTCGAATCCGAGCCCGAGAAACGCACTTGACTAATCTCACGAAATTCTCCAAACAAAGGCCGCCCAAGAGAAGATCGTGAAGCAGCTGCAGCACCAACTGAACGAGACCCAGGGCAAGCTCGAAGAGGTGAACCGCACATTGAACGACTTCGACGCCGCGAAGAAGAAGCTGTCCATCGAGAACAGCGACCTGTTGCGCCAACTGGAGGAGGCCGAGTCTCAGGTCAGTCAGCTTTCCAAGATCAAGATCTCGCTCACCACGCAACTGGAGGACACGAAACGTTTGGCCGACGAGGAATCGAGGGAACGCGCCACTCTGCTCGGCAAATTCCGCAACCTGGAACACGACCTGGACAACATTCGGGAACAAGTCGAGGAGGAAGCCGAGGGCAAGGCGGACTTGCAGCGACAGCTCAGCAAGGCGAACGCGGAGGCGCAACTCTGGCGCACGAAATACGAGTCCGAGGGTGTCGCGAGAGCAGAAGAGCTCGAGGAAGCTAAGAGGAAACTACAGGCACGACTGGCTGAAGCCGAGGAAACGATCGAATCGCTTAACCAGAAGGTCATCGCACTCGAGAAGACGAAACAGAGACTATCCACGGAAGTCGAGGACCTGCAGATCGAAGTGGACCGCGCGACCGCCATCGCCAACGCCGCCGAGAAGAAACAGAAAGCTTTCGACAAGATCATTGGGGAATGGAAGCTCAAAGTCGACGACCTCGCAGCAGAACTGGACGCCAGCCAGAAGGAATGCCGCAACTACAGCACCGAATTGTTCAGGCTCAGAGGTGATTACCGGTTTCTGAAGGTTTCCGACTTATGCGTTGAGCCTGGTTCTTTCGGTGTTGAGTATCTGATGGTAGATTGGGGTGTTTGGGTATGATAGTTAGGTGATAGGATATTTGATACTGGAACTACTGAGGGTTCAACAGTAGAATTACCAGTTGAGTCAAAATGAATAATTTCGAATTTCTTCTTTTACGATTGTTGCCAGGGTACAGACACTGCTTTGAGAAATGATTAAAGAAGCTGATTTAGTCGTACCTAAATTGAAACATAAAACGATTGAAATGTTAATATATTCATGGTTTTAACTGTTAGAAACTTTCGAAGGACGGTTTAAGTGCTCGGTTGTTCTGGTGTTAATACGATTAATATGTAGTTTCTATGGAAATTGGGATGATAGATTAGTTTTAGTTTCTTTGCGTATTTGTTATGGTATTCAAGTGGAGCTACTTATTTTCGAGATCTCTGAGAATATTCTATGCTTCTAATCCTTTGCAGACGAGCATTCTTTGAAATATGCAACACCTTCAGCAGATGAAATTAATATCAATTAATATTATATATATAATTATATATATATATATATATATATCAATTGCTTAAACAAGAGAAAGAAAGGAAACTCTAAGCGTTAAGATATCGATAATTGTGAAAGAAAATAATCGGTACTGGTCATTTTGATTGGTACGGTAGTTCTAGTGTTAAATAGGATTAAAATGATGTTAATACGATGATCTTTGTCGTATTAAGCTGAACAAAGACTTTCCTTGAATATCTACAGATACACGTGTATACGTGTCTGTCACACCGAAAGGATTAAGCACAGGATTAATTTGATTCCGAGTTTACGAGTGAATCATCTATAAGGAAGTGTTTATAATGGTTTTCGTTTCTCGTTTGAATTAGGTGCATACGAGGAAGGTCAAGAACAGTTGGAAGCAGTACGTCGCGAGAACAAGAACCTCGCCGACGAGGTGAAAGACCTGTTGGACCAGATCGGCGAAGGTGGACGCAACATTCACGAAATCGAGAAGGCCAGGAAGCGCCTGGAGGCTGAGAAGGATGAACTTCAAGCCGCCTTGGAGGAAGCTGAGGCCGCTCTTGAACAGGAAGAGAACAAAGTGCTTCGCAGCCAGCTTGAACTCAGCCAAGTGCGACAAGAGATTGACCGACGCATCCAGGAGAAGGAAGAAGAATTCGAGAATACCAGAAAGAATCACCAGCGTGCTCTCGATTCTATGCAAGCATCGCTTGAAGCAGAAGCCAAGGTCAGTGCTTCGCCAAGGTTTAACCTTTACAAAATCATTTTAATATCTTCGGACCTAAGTCTCATTTAATCCGCTTAAGGATGCTTTATTTTATTTATTATATCTATCATTTTACTTGATTTATTATATTTATTACTTTATTTTACTTAGTAGATTTACGATCCAATTTTGAACTCACCTAAAGAAAACAAAATGGCTACTGCCAATTACCATTGAAACAAGTTTCTAGTTGTCCATTTGAAATTTTATTTTCAAGTCACCAGGTCTGAAGAGTTAAAGCAAGGGTGATATGCGATGAAGGTTACAATAATGAATTCTTTGCCATTCACAGGGCAAAGCTGAGGCACTGCGCATGAAGAAGAAACTGGAAGCTGACATCAACGAACTGGAAATCGCTCTGGACCATGCCAACAAAGCGAACGCCGAAGCCCAGAAGAACATCAAGAGATACCAACAGCAACTGAAGGACGTACAGACCGCTCTCGAAGAGGAACAACGGGCACGCGACGAAGCGAGGGAACTCCTTGGAATCTCAGAACGCCGTGCCAACGCTCTACAGAACGAATTGGAAGAAAGCCGCACTCTTCTCGAACAGGCAGACCGTGGCCGCCGTCAAGCGGAACAAGAGCTGGCCGACTGTCACGAACAACTTAACGAACTTGGTGCTCAGAACGCTTCTATCTCCGCTGCTAAGAGGAAACTTGAAGCTGAACTCCAGACTCTCCACGTGAGTATAGCCGCTAATTCCTTACTTGATTAATAAAGAGCAGGAGCTCAATCAAAAAAGGGAGCGTATATATTCAATCTTTATAAAATATTTGGTTACTTGGAAAAATTGTATTACTTTGAATACTTTTACTAGTTTAGAAATTGTATTACTTTGAGAAGTGTTATTACTTTAGGAATTGCATTACTTCAAAGATGTTTATTACTTCAAAAATTCTATTACTTCAATAGCTTCAAGTGAATTGTAATTCAAAGCGAATCGAATGTTTTAAAGTCTGAGGCACCCATTCTTTACAATAATGTTTCAATGAAAACGATACTTTGAAATACTTTAAAATACCTTCAGAACATAAAAGATTAATGTACAGAATAAATACCTTAGTATTTCATAAAAGTTCCTCAATTTACAAATAAAATGGTACCTCTTTCATTGATTTAACAATACTTGACGAATGTTTCTAGTCTGATCTGGATGAACTCCTGAACGAAGCGAAGAACTCTGAAGAGAAAGCGAAGAAGGCGATGGTCGACGCAGCTAGATTGGCCGACGAGCTCCGAGCTGAACAAGATCACGCTCAGACTCAAGAGAAACTGCGTAAGGCTCTTGAAACACAAATCAAGGAACTCCAGGTGCGTCTGGACGAAGCCGAGGCGAACGCACTGAAGGGCGGCAAGAAGGCGATCCAGAAACTCGAACAGCGCGTCCGCGAATTGGAGAACGAATTAGACGGAGAACAGAGGAGACACGCCGATGCCCAGAAGAACCTCCGCAAGTCTGAACGCCGTATCAAAGAACTGAGCTTCCAGGTGCGAACTTGATCAGTATTTACCTGCGCGTTCGAAACTTCTATGGTTACCATTAGACTGCGTATCTTTGTTCATTTAGAAGAATTTTGGAAGTTCCAAATTCCGTGAAATCCGTGCTACAAGCAAGAATGTATTAACCCTTTGTACTCGGAAGTTTTTCAGTAGAAATATTTGAAGATTTTCTGATGAGATAAAGACGATATTTTGTGAAACTAACTCGAAAAAAAATCACACATGCATTGAGGAACTATTTTATTTCAGTATTTCTCAAATGGATGCATTATACGAGGTATAACATTAAATATCAAATTTTATAGTTTTACCGTATCAAGTGGTGAGTGAGAGTCATCTGTCGAGTGCAAAGGGTTAAAGTATCCCAAAATGTAGTGCTTTTCATGATGTTCGTAAAGAAGAACTATTTTCTATCATGATACTGTTGTTCCAATTAAAGTCGAACAATTTGAAGTTGCATAAAGATCTGCAGTCCGGTTACCATCGATAAGGCAACGTCAATTTCAAGTAAATAAAGGAATACAGTATATTTTCTTAAGAAGATAGACATTTCAACTATCGTTTTGATAGATGGATAGATTTGATACATTTGATAGATTGCAACCACGAATTTCTCAAAAAATGACACTCATTGACGTTCCAGAAACATGTTCCAACTTTCAAATGTAGCTCATGATAGTTTCCTTCGTTCCATTTCATAGTTTTTCAATCAAGTGCAAAATAATGTGAAACAGGAGCCACCTTCTAACAATAATAAAATGTACTTTTAATGTTTAGGCTGACGAAGACCGCAAGAACCACGAGCGCATGCAAGACTTGGTCGACAAACTCCAGCAGAAGATCAAGACATACAAGAGGCAAATCGAGGAGGCCGAAGAGATTGCTGCTCTCAATCTTGCTAAGTTCCGCAAGGCGCAACAGGAACTCGAAGAGGCGGAAGAGAGGGCGGATCTTGCTGAACAGGCGATCACCAAGTTCCGCACCAAAGGACGTGGGGGAAGTGCCGCGCGCGGACTGAGCCCAGCGGTAAGCAAAATATAAATCACGAAGAAACAATCAGTCGCGATGAAATCAACACAACCTGATCTTCAGTAATATTCGATTAACCCTCTATGAGCCGGATTTTGTTTCCTTTTATACAACAAAATGTATGCTGTATGAAATGAATAAATATCGACACTTATCAATATGAATACAAATTAACAATGTATTCAATAGTTTTAATAATTTTATTAAAACGAATATATTTTGTAACCTCGAATTTATTATGATGCTGAACGTTTACGCCTGTGCGTATGAAAGTTTAACTTGATAATTTAATTATTTGTGTCATTCTGTGATAAAACATTAAATGTCACATGGGCCTATAGAGGGTTAATTATAATTTAGTAACGGGAGACTGGAAATAACGTGGTGCCACAAGGATTTGGGATACTTTCAGTTCATAGAATCATTAGCAGGGTTAAAGGAAAAGATATTTAACCACCATCTTTAAAACCTGAATTTCACTTAATCCCAACAGATTTCAAAGAATTTTATTTTTATTTTCACCGTTTGTTCTTTTTATCTGGGTAAAACGTACAGAACGAAGCTATTCGGGGCGAATGTAGGTAAAATAGGTACCCAATTCTCTATTTTGGAATCGAAGAGATTAGACATATTTTCACTCTTACTCTTCCTCGCATCGTTTCACAGCTTCGAAACCACAATACACACAGGGACGTTTCGAAGCGTCGAGTACGTTACTTTCAAAGATTCTTGTATACAAAGTACAAATAGGTACCGACGGTCCGTCAATCCACAAACGAACATTACGTCGCATTACAATCGTGCCACAAGGATCTTCTCAACTGATCAAATTACCATACACCATACCTAAAGAAAAGTTTGCCCATAAATGCCCAAGACAGTCGGTAGGCTATCAAGGTTAGAACAGAACTAATCCAAACGTCTAGATTCGCGAATTGAAATTGCATCGTAGAAAAAAAGGATTAATTGAAAACACATTTGCCTATAAATGCCCAAGGCAGTCGGAAGGCGATCGACATTAGAACGGAACCGACACCTAATCTAAACGTCTAGATTCGCGAATTGAAATTGCGTCGTAGAAAAAGGGGAAAAAGGATTAATTGAAAACACTTACCCATAAATGCCCAAGACAGGTAGGGTTTCAAGAGTAGACCGGAACCGAGCCCTAACCTAAACGTCGATTCTCGAATTGAACTTGCATCGTAGCAAAAAGAAAAAAAAGAGGATTAATTGTAAAATCTCTGTGTCCCTGTATAGCCGCAACAGAAGGCCCGCAAGGCGCCCTCCGCAATGGAGTAAAGAACATCGCGCCGGTCCATGTAAGTTCGTGCACGTGTCACAACCACGTGTGTGTGTGTCAAGAGAGAGAGAGAGAGAGAGAGAGAGAGATCGCAAACAAGCCATACAGCAGCGAAAGTAATCGTTCACACAGACCGAAAGAAACTGTTGCGAACCCCCTATCAACCGTTCGTCTATGTCTTACTTTTTTGATTACCTGTGTGACAAGCTCGTAACACTTCCGAGAAGCAACCCTTACAAATATAAAGCTTCGTCCTCGACACTGATTAACGTTGTGTACCACCCATCCCAAAGAGTTCACGATTAGTCCGCAAAACGGATCCTTCTGTATGGAACTTTTTTTTAGATCAGCAATTTGCTTGGTTAGCGATGAGTTTGCGCGGCGCATGCGCGTGCGCGCGCTTTTCACTTAGAACGCAGAACAGGCTGTTCGTAGTGATACAGTTAACCGTCTTTCTTTGTACGTTGTTTTTTTTGTCTGTTTTCTTTCTCGACTTTCTTCCTGTTCGTTTTCTTTTTTGTTCTTGTTTTTTTGTTTACATTTGTCTCAAACGCCGCTTTGGTTTTGTGCGTTGGGCAGACAAAGCGATTCTCGTCGGACATAAGGGAGGTACCAAGACCCTCGATTTAATCGGCGTCCGTCATTGTTTTCCGAGTGCAAGGCCACACGTTTTTTCTCCTTGACAATTTGCGCGCTGACGCAGAAAAGGACACAGGAACCGTGTCACTTGACCCCGCCCTCCCCGCCCCTTGAACTTTGACTTTGTTTTTCTGTTTCGAGAAGTGGATCATTGGATCCTGATTAGGGATGGGATTAAGAGGAGTGGAATAATGTGTTTCAAACAGGAATCGCAATGCTCGATGAAAGTGAATTAACCTCTTGATCTATCATTTATTTCTCAACTATGACCGGTGCTACTTTGTCATTAACACGTTGACTACTACGGTGGTCACCGGTGACCGAAGCTTCCAAATTGCTTGAAAACGAGTGCAAGAAAATTGATATTCAATCAAAATATTTAGTAACATGAGAAGATAATAGTGTAATATGATTACTGTAATACCAAGATATTAATAATTATATTTATTACTATTTTCCTCTATTATAAAGGGATAAATCTTACTATAAACAAATATTCGAAATTTTCGTAGCAGTCAACGTGTTAATAACTTATCGAAAAAGAATATTGTAAACATATTCTATGCTTGTTTGCTGTAAAGTGTAATTATTGATAACGGGAGAGTAATATTTCATGTGAATTCCGAAGGATCGAGTAATATTTATTCTTGTTAACACGTTGAAGGTACAAAATAAGAATTGTTAATTCTTTGGTTATGAACATTTTTATGTTACTATTATATATCACCTATATTACATTATATTACATTATATTATAATTTGAAAGCTCCAAAGTCAATGTGTTAAATTCTTTTTGAACAAGGCAAGGGGTTAATGAACACAAACTTTCTATATTAATGTGAATAAATACTAGTTGCAGTGTCCCCAATAGATTCCAACACTCAATCGCCGATACTTTTAAATTGTTAACGATTACCGTGATTTTCTCAAACCCGTTCAATCCAGCATGTGAAAGGTTCAAACTTTCACAACAAGGCACCTCGTGGAACAAATTTTAACCTCAAATTGACTTTGTTATCGACCATTAACACTATTTTTACCCAAGATATTAAACCACACCTTCTGAAATTTTATCTTAAAATTCTTTTCCGAGTTCAGTCGAATATTCTGAATTGACTTTTCGACTTTTCCAATAACGATTCAAAAATTAACTGCAGGAAATGTCCAAAATTCAATTGAGGACAAATTAATACGTTCAGTGCCACGTGCACCATACATGGTACACACAGGAAACAATATCAAAATATATAAAAGTTACCAAAAACTTGAATATAACTTAATATTTTATTAAAAAAAAAAATCAATACAGTTCATAAGCAAAATATAACCGAAATTTCCGTGGCACAGAACGTGTTAACACTTTGACTGCATGTCATCCGAATACGGGTGACGCCATTTTTAACGTAATATTGAACATTCATTTTTTTGTTGGTATTTCGAACGAACTAAATTTTATTGAATATATGAAATACAAGGAAGATAATAGAGCAATAATTACGAAAAATCTTGACTCTTTAATTTCTAGTTTATTAAGAAAACTGTTTCGATCGCATGGGAGTTTCGATGGTGATTTACTTAGCAGTCAAAGTGTCAAACCGAGGAAATAATTTCAAGTTAAAGCTTCACGTCTTTCGACACCTTCGCTAAAAACAGTGTTAATAAGAAGGAAACAATTTAAACAGTATTTGAACAGCAGACTTGATCCCATCGCTAAAACGAACGATGTTCTCTTAGAAAGCTTGTGTCATTTTAAACTACACTTTCCAACTAGAAGTTACAAGACAATACAAGTTAAGAAGTTACCAAGTTAAGAGGTCGTAAGAATAGCACAAGTTTTTTTGTCATTCCAATAAAATTTATTCGAACGTCTAAAAATCGTCCGACGTTCTTGAACACAGACACTATCGTTAAGCTTTCCGACGGACATTGTTGTCCGTCGATGAGTAGTATTCTCCTATCGATCGCAAGTTGCCAAAAGCTAACACGGTCACTTTGTTTTTCCAGCCACACCGACCTGCGTTCAAACCCCAATTGGATGGTTCCGCATTCCCGCCACGCTTCGACCTCCAGCCCGATGGTGATTTGTAAAGATCGACGCGACCGACACACCCGATTTAGAGACTCGATCGCCGATGATATAGCTTAACAAACGTAACGAGACCGAACAGAAAAGGAGAAAAAAGGAAAATACAGATGGGAAAACAAAATAAAGAGAGAACGGAACACAACACGAAGAGCGAACAAATTTCATCGTGTCATCTCGCTGAGCGACTCACCCTCTCATCATCTTTTCACACGTACACACACTTTACACACCGACGTACCGGTCGCGAATCTTTACCTTCATCACGACACGAGGATGTCCGTGCTTGGTTAATTTTGCCAGTTTTCGAAATGCGACGATTAATGTAAACAGATAGACAGAGGGATAGATAGAGAAGAGGGGAAAAGAACAAACGGAGGAAGGGGGAAAAAGGGAGGGACAACGATCTCCCCGTTGAAGAACATCCGATTGAATTTACTTTTGTGGGCGGGATTCAGGGGGGAAACGTGGGGAGGAAAGCAAAAACCCTTAATCTTAGCCACTCGCGATATGACGGTCGAGGAGAGGAGAGAATGTAAAGAATGAGAGTGGGAGAGCAAGAGAGGAACCGAGAGAAAGGAGAAATGCGAGCGGTCGAGATCAGAGGCGGAACAAAGGAGAACCAGTAAGAATTGTATATGTATTATTGAACGAGAAAAAACGAAAAAACATATGAGAATACACGTGCACAACACTGGCATACTCGCGAATCAAGCGGACGTACTGTATCGATATGTACTTGTAAAGTTAAAAACAATCCAGCGCGAAGAGAGACAAAAAATGGACAAAAAAAAGAAAGCGAAATGTAAGAGAACTAAAAAACGAACGAGATCACACGTTATGAGAAGACGATCTAAATGGAACAAATGTTAACGCTAGTCGCGGATTTGCACGGCGGCGCGCATATTATACATGTCATCCAAATGATAATCCTATCCTTATAAACTTAATTGTAATTTATAAAGAGAGCCGAAATATGTATTTATTAAAGTAAATAAGCAATAAATAAAGTTAAGAACTAAAACCAGGTGTTGTTCTTTCGAGTTGGAATCGCAAGTGGATCAAGTTGATCGACCAGGTTTTTGTTTATTTAGATTAGTCTTTGGAAGAAACGTTTGTAGGATTTCTATAGTATTATTAGTTAATTAGCATATTGACTGCTATGAAAAATATCATAATGTTACGTAGTACTTATACCTTTGTAATAAAGATAAATGGGAATAACAAAGAATTTAATGGAAAGACTTATACGTTAATTCATTAACACGTTGACAGTGGTCTGGTGACCGGAGCTTCGAAATGACTTGAAAACAATTATCATTCATAAGACAACTGAGGTCGAATAAGAGTATTCAATGATGTGAAGGACTAGATAATATTATAACATGAGAATTGTGGTAGTAAATAATTACTTGTTTTCGAGTCATTTCGAAGCTCCGGTCACCAGACCACCATGGCAGTCAACGCATTAATGAATTAACGTATAAGTCTTCATTAAATTCTTCGTTGAGATTGAACCTTTTAAAAACTGACGACGAAGGAAAGTCTCAGATTCATAGTATACAGAAATTGACTAGAATCACCTATAGTTTATTACCAAAATGCAAACATGCTATAACACTAGAAAAAATCAGAGTTTCAAGGAAAATATTTTCCACGATTCGTTACTCTCATTTATTTTACTGAGCATTCATTATGACTATACATAAAATACAAAAATCGATTAGAACTCTAGGCTGAGTAAAATTAAACCATTACAATGTTAACCCTTTGCACTCGGAAGGCGAATCTCAGTCACTCCCTGATTTGACGTGTAAAACTATAAAATCTAATATTTAATATGGAACTTTATAATGCCTCGATACGTGAAATATTGGAATAACATAGCTACGTTCCTCAATATACTTATGATTTCCCATCGAGTTAGTTTTAAGGAATGTCTTCGCCTTGTGAAAAAAATGTTAAACATTTCTAGTGAGAAACTTCCGAGTGCAAAGGGTTAATCGATGATAAATGTTGATTGTAAATATCAATCATAACTTTGAACGTTAGAACTGTTGTAAGATTCCAGTAAATACGTTCTGTATTTCTTACGCACGTGTTTCAACTGTCGATTAAGATTTTCTTAAAAATATCTCTAATGAATCGTGGGATTCTGTACGATTCATTAGAGAAACTACTTCAGTCTTTAAAACTGAGAACGTGGAGAAGCAGAGAACATCAGCTGCGCGTTCTACTTTTCTTTTATCTGTGGTTCTTCTTTTGCTCTTTGCGCATTAGCTGTCTGAACTGGCCCTTTACGAGTTCCCATTGTGTATATTTCTCGGTGCTGATGCCAAACTCTTTGCACGTTTTTTGGAAGGCGTCTATACACAGAGGCAAATAAGAGTGGTCCACGGTCGGCAGTAAATGATGCAGAGCGTGCTGCCCGAAGTTAGTCAGTACAAGGAAATCGGAATCATCGACCACTTTTCGTTCCCTGACAGCGTCCAGCTCGAGCAAGCCCCAGTCAAGATCATCCCTAAACAGAATTACAGTTCTTTTCAAAATTAAATCTAGAGAAAAGCCAAAGATGTTTCAAATTTAACGGATACTTAATGTTTTGAACAATATCAAACTAAAGGGATTAATTTTAACAAAACCTTCTTGAATAATAAAAACGTTATTATCAATGAAAAAATTACAGATTTTTACTTATTAAATAATAATTGTTGGCGTTATTAATTACTAATAAGGCTTGTAAAAAGTGCCCGTTTTCACTGTTAATTAACACTAGAACTACCGAGCATTTAATACAATTGATATGTAATCCATATAGAAACTGTAACAATGGATTATTTTTAGTTTCCTCATGTATTAATTATAGTATTCAAGTGAAATTAATATGATTGAGATGTAACCCCTGTAAAAATTGTAACAACAGATTATTTTCAGTTTCTTTCGATATTTGTTATAGAATTCAAGTGAAACTATTTATTTTCGAAATTATTTCAAATGTTCACTGCTTTTAAGGGATGAATAATTGCGAAACAAAAGAATCGAAACCAGTCATTTTGAATGTTACGTAGTTCTAGACTTAAGTATGAAATATTACAAGATTGCAGAAAGAACAAACCTGTATATGTCACCGTCGTGGAAGATGTCCGGATGGTGATGTGCTGCGTTGAAGCCAATCATGGAGAATACAAAGCTGCTTACGACAAGGATCAGTAACCAGTACTTCACAGCAACGAGAATGCTCGGCGCGACGGAAGACATTAATACGGGCAGTACGAATGGTACAACGTCACGGAGGTCAAATGTTTTGAATTCATAATACGCAGAGTAGTATCTGAAATAAACAATTTTATTGCCATTAGATCGTGGACGTTTATACGAGCAAGTAAAGAAAATAAAGTAAAGAAATTTCTCTTTCATATTAATTGAATAAAAACTTCTTCTATAAAAATTTTCCTATGGAAGAAAAAATTGATTGAGAAAACGTTAATAAAAATTAATAAGAAATTCCTTCTTCATATTAATTGAATAAAAACTTCTTCTCGTATACAAATTTGCCTATGCAAGAAAAAATGTATCGAGAAAACCGTAATAAAAATTAATAAGACATTCCTTCTTCACATTAATTGAATAAAAGCTGATAGATCCGAATTTATATTATCAGAATTGTTTCCTATACTTTTTATAGAGGGTATATCATTATACTTATGAGTATCTATTCCAAGTATATTCTATTCCAGATCTAATAGTTGATCCAATATTTGATTTAATCATAGATAAAGCAGTGATGTTAATACGTGAAACAAAATTTCTTTTTGCCATTGTTCAAGAAGGATGTTTATCGACTGTAAATCTACCTTTTAATTAATTGACCGATGAAAAATATTGTCCAAATTGCAGGGCTCAGAATTTGGCTAATGAAACTTTTAATCGTGCTCTTCTCTTTATCTGGAAGCCACTGGATTAATGGCTCGACTATGTAAATCTCGTAATCCCAAACAGTGTTAGGATAAGTATGATGGCTCATGGCGTGCGTTATGCGCCATTCCTTAGATGACATTCCACACAGATCGAAGTAGTACATCCTAAAATTGTCCCTCATGTGGAAATAATTGTGAGCGATTATCGTCGTCCACGCAAGAGAAATACCTGAAATCCGGAATATAATTATAATAAAATCGAAAACGAAAGAAACTTACGAAGAATGAGAAAGCCGTAAAAATGGCTGACTAATGAAATACTCAAACCATTGTAACCTTCGATTTTCAAATCTTCTATAATAAAAATAAATTTTTCATTCTTTTATATCAACATGTTTTGTTCAATAAAAAAATACCCAAAAAATCATAGATTGCAAATCAATAATACAAATTTACGATTGGAAAATTAGAAGTAAGTAGAACGTTTCAGAGAAAATAAATAAATAAATACAATGTTTTTAACATATTATTCAGCTGGATTCGTTATTAAAAAATATATCATTTTACTCTTTACAATGTTTCTTATCATAATAGTTCTTGTATACAATTGGAATATAAACAGAAACAAAATTTGGTTATCAATGAAACTTTACAATATGTATTAGAGTTTCGTAATTGGTTTCAAACATAATAGTTTACACTTACCAGCAGCAGCGACGATTACACGAGACTGCATAAAAACTGCAGCGAGGCTGATAGCGATAGTTAAAGTAACCATAAGATCAGCAATAGCGTTGGACTTCTTCGACGGCCGATGGAAATCGACGTTTTTCAAAGCTTCGAGTGCGCGTTTCTTGAACGTATAGTAGAATCCATTTGGTTTAAACGTCAGTGGCACTGACCGTGACGAAACTGCCTCCTTTATGAAATATTTGGGTAAGATCCTCGAAGGTTTCTCAGTCAGATGATGTGCCTGCAGAACATTTTGTTTAGAATTAGTTCATCATTCAACCCTTTGCGCTCCTATGTCGAGCATGACTCGATGTTTCAAGAATCATCGTTTAATTGAATGAACTATAGTAATTCGATTTGGTTGGGGTCACCGGTAACCCTCGTGGTATTAAACGTGTGAACTCTATCGTTCTTAGAAAATCACATGTTTATCTGTATATTCCACAAAAATCAAAGTTCCAAGAACAAAGAATTCTAACGTACATCCTCACAATTGCACGAATCAAAACCGACTTAACCCTTTGCGTTCCGAGTTTCTTTTGTAATTTTTCCTCGATAACTCTGTATTATTACGATATTTTCTTTGAAATGTATTTGAAAGAACAGATAGTTTGTAGAGAGCAGTGTACACGATTCGTCTTACTAATAATATCGAAAATAACATAATAATAGAATCTATTTGAAAAATATCTCGACAAAGAAGCACAGTTGTGAATAAAACTGATAAAAATTCGACATCAGTTTTATTCACAGGTGTGATTCTTTATCAAGATATTTGAAAAGACACGTGAATTCACGTGAACGATCGCGAACGTGAGAATGTTATCGATAAAATACAGTTACCTCGAAAAGTTCTGTTATATCAGTCCCTTTAGTAAGGCTGATCCATTCTTTCCCTCCAGGATGATGTTTCTCGAAAGTTTCCAGATCGTACAAATTATTTCCGATCCGCCATAAACCTTCCGCGCCGTCTATTTGCCTTCTTCCTTCGAGAAACGCGTACGGCGTCTTGAACGCTTTGTTCCTTCCAGGAAGTGGTTGTAAACCTGGTACCGTGCTCTCGGTTTTCGCCATGGCACCGGTGGCAATGGTTCTGCAAATTGTAGCAATGCGAAATTGATAATACCATCGACAGAAATTGTAAGATCGGTCGAAATAAATTATAAATTACAAATCATTAACGATAAGTAGTTCCGACGAGTGCAGCTGCGGAATGAAATCGTGAATCAAGAAATAAATGATTATACTGCACCGAATAGTTCGAATTAGATATTAGGTGCATAAAATAAACATTAGGTATTTGTTTTTCACCAACAAATGCGGTGCAGCTCTTGCACTGTTGGATTGGCGCGGCCGTGAACCGAAATGGCGCTTGTTTAATAGCGGGCAATCTCGGGAAAAGCGTGTTCCGATTAGTCATGTTATTATCGAGCATTCCTCTGAACGCAATAAATGATAATTCGGTATTCATCCAATGAATACTTGGTAAACATTGCTCGGAGCACGTTTATTCTTGATACACGCACTGATTGATTCATTTGTTGCTGCTCCAACAACGATACCTTTCGATTACTCAACGCAAATGAATTCAGTTGTCCTCATGGTTTATATCGAATCGATGAATATGGAATTGGACTGTTCCAATGTAGAATTGAATTGTTTACTTGCAATTTACGAAAAAACGTTTCGTGTCATTATACGATATGAATGTATATATGATGAAATATGAAATTTTGTTTATTATTAAAATAATAATAATTTTAATTATTAAAATAATAAAAAGATTTTTGTGTACAAAATATGTATGTAAACATATAAATATACAACTAAACGTATTCCCCATTTTTGTAGATACTTCTTCGAATGTTTTTATTGGCATACTTTATATTTCCATGAAACTACGATTTACAAAGTAAATAGTGTTCACGTGGGAATAGCAGTTTATGGGAAAACATTGATATTTGTAAATTAAGAGTACAATAATCAGGGTCCATTCAGTCAATGACGTCTCTGTTGGTCGCACTTTCGTTTTTTACCCTGTTGACCCTCTCGACGATATTGTATCAAGATTTGCGTGCATAATGTATGTTAAAATTTTCTCGTGTTAATGTTCTTATTGAAATGCATTTAAAATTGAGTACTTGCCTCGATATATTCGAAATAGAATTTTATATTTATTCCAACAACTGTTGAATCTAACTTGAATCTGTCATAATGGCACAGTGCTATGTATAATAATGTAAAAACACATCCGATAACTCACTTTTATCTAACCCTAATTTCTCGTATTGACGATAGAATGTATGTTATATATGCACATACGTGCATTCAATGAAAAAAGCAACGATTACGTAAGCGTTCTATCACTATGTAAATATTATGTCCGAGTAGTTGCACTGTTTAAAAGTGACTGTGACACAGCCGACAAATTAACTGATCCGAATAAAGCAATTCTTAATCTTTATATACCTACAGCAAAGTCTTAACCACGACGCTCTTTGACCTAGGAACGATAACTCATTCGAATAAACAAAAACATTCTGGTCATTGCAGCAGCAGGCGAATCTAATTTTCTGGGAACAGAACCACGTGTAGAAATGTCACAGCCACTGCATCACTGTGTGGGTATTATGCAAATCTCGGAATAATAATAAACATTTTTCTTCGGTGATAGCAAATATTATGCAGTTTCTATTATTGTGCACTGATTTTCTATGTAGTTTATTTTTCGGAGAAATTTGAAATCGAAGACGTTCCGTAAATTTTGGAATTTATTTTATTCGTGGTCCTCTTTTTACTTTTCAGACGTTGCTCCAAATAAGGAGACACGAATAAAATAAATTTTGAAATTTATAAATTCGAAATTTTTATATTTATAAATGATATTTATAAATTTCAAAATTCATTTTATTCG